TCATAATGAAATCGTTTTCAACGAAAAATTGTATCAGACAAATTTCAGGGAAACACCCGAAAGCGCATCCGTTATACAACCATTTTCGATAGTTTTTCGCACATGCGTTTCGGATGAACACTTAAGTGGGAGAATTCATCTGAAAAACGTTCGAAAATGGATGAAACATCAGGTTTTTATACGAAATTGTTTCCATTTTCGGACACGTTTCCGGATAATATGCTGGCTAGGTAGTTTTGCTTTTCCACAACATTTTTTATAAAAAACGGCCCTAAGCTCAATAAAATTGTTGGATTCATTCTGAATGCTAATAACCTAGCAACAACAACAGCCGTCAAAACAGAACCAAACACCCCTTAGAATTTCAACAAGATCAGGCCTAGAATCTTTAGTCCCGAACGACCTTACGATGGTATGCATTTTGATTCTAATGATAGAAAGGGTATAGAAAGGATAATAAAATACAGGAAAATACATACATAATTATTAAAGTATTCAACATTGCTTTAAATTTAACTAGAAATTAACAATATATCGATGTTTCTCTGGCGATGTATTTTAGCCTCGATGAACTTTTCTCCGATGCATCGAAACATCGATGTATCGATGTTACTGCTCAAAATTTGCATCCCTATTCCTGGGACTGCTCAAGAATTGTAATCGATGAATTCGATATCGATAAGTTTTAATAAGTGCGCAAGAATTTAAAGTTTGAAATTTTTGAAGCATTCATCATTTTCAAATAAACTGAATTCATATCATTTTCAAATAAACTATCATAAAAACCTCACAAGCCGACCAGGCGCAAATCACCAGAATCTGTATACATATATGTATGCCGAACTCTGCCATCCAACGGCATAATATTAGACAACAAAAGCCACATTCCTCAAATCAGGTACAGAATAAATAATACTTAAAATTGTTCTATACGCAAAAAAAAACGCTTTAATTTATTTCAATACTTAGTTTTATTCAAACGTCTATACATATCAGAACCTTCTCTCGCTAGTTTATCTGCCATCTGGTTACCAGCAATGCAGTGATGACCTTTGACATAATTCTATATAAATGGAATAATAAAACATATATTTAAAAACATATGTATCTACCTTACCCATTTCACCTTCATATTGTCGCCTCTTAACAATTCATCAAGCTCTTTAAAATCTACAGCATTTTTAACCGGTTCTCCATTTTTCAAACGCCACTCTTTTTGTTTCCATGCATTAATCCACATTGTAATTGAATTTATAAGGAATTGTGAATCTGTACTAACACACAGCTTTTCTATACCAAAAGTTCTTGCTGTTTTAATAGCGTGAATTGCCGCTTGTATTTCGCCTACATTGTTGGTAACTCGACCTGTGACTGGGCGCGACATGTTTCTAAACGGAATATTTTTAGCATGAAATACCAAATAATTAGAAAAAATATGTATCGTACAAAGGGTGGTTTTCCCCAAAATATACTCCCAAACCAGCACAAGCATCCGGTCGTCCATTATTGATGCATGAACCATCTGTATAGACGATAACGTAACCCTCAGAATCTATTTCAAATGTATATTCATTGATTTTTTGAGATCCTACGGGTTTCCAAACGTTCGAGACATGCACAGGATGCTTTTTCAGTTTGGCCTTGGACTCTCCATCGGTATTTGATTTTCTCTTATTCGTCGCGCGTGTTTCACCATTCGATTGATTTTCAAAAGCAGCTACAGCAGCAAGCTATGACAATAAAATTTTATAATTTATAATGGGCTTCAATGTTCATTATAATACACGCCTACAAGCTCTGAATCTTCTAATGAGTTTAACTCCATAGTTTGCTCTTCTGGCCAGAAATCTTCCGGTGTTGAATTTGATGTTTCTGGAGCAACAATTCCTGTTCTATTTTGCACAAACGCCTCAGCTTCTGGGCGTGATTTAAATTTCTTATATTTAGCACCTTTGAATCCTTTAACCTGCTCTGCACATTGGGACCTAAAAAATAAAGCTTTGATAAATGTTGATTTAAGTTTATCGGGCATACTTACCAACTATCATAAATGCCAACATTATGGCCACGAGCTACAGCGTAAAAAGACATAAACAAGCCTTTAATATTTGGTTGTGGAAGAGTTTTTCTTAAAAATAACATCTAACAATTGATGCCTTTAAATTTTTTCGATTATGTCCCTTTGTTTTGAGGCGAAAAAACAGCTGATAGGCTCAAACATATCGTTCTTAGAAATACCATTTTTAAATCGATTAATCGAGCTTTTTCAATTCGACCCGTGAATCGATTTCCAAAATCAATGGATATATCCTCGATTGATAAATATTAGGGCTGTTCAGGATTTTGTGCATATACTCTTGCATTTGCATATTCGCTGCATTTGTAAATTCACAACAATAAAATGCCTACGGTTGTCATGCCAGCCATCATAAACTTTGCAAATGCAATTCCAACTGCAAAATGACGGCTTTTGACATTTATTTTTGTTCTTCTTCTGTTGCACTAGCAAGAATCTGCAGCTTTTCCGTGTTGTTACGCTCCCTCTTCAGTGATCCTGTGCAAATTTTTTGGGTTTTCCAGTACAAATATATACCGCCTAGTTGTTTTTATACACCCCTATACTTTATATACTTGTGTTTTAGGCGATTTTATATAAAATAGCGAAGAAATAACATATATATTTATATATATATATTTTTTTTTTTTAATATTGGTCGGATCGAATCGGTATCGGATACCGAAAACGATGTATTGGGTACAACCATTTCCCTCAAGTATTTGGTACTGACAATTCATCACATCACTGACATCATTAATATAGAGAAGATGATATAAAACGCAATATTTGGCGGGTGAAGTAAAATTTGAAAAAGATAGGACTCGCTTAAAATTTAAGGCGCAGTGTATTATAGATTTTAAAGAAGCCAAGCGGAGTTATAGGGTGCAACCTACATAAAAATTCAATTGAACAAAAACGAAATATCGTCAAAATGCCTTTCTACGCAGTTGCAAATGGACGAAAAGTGGGAGTGTACACCAGCTGGGCTGAATGTGAGCAGCAAGTGAAAAAATTTAGCGGCGCAATTTTCAAGAAGTTCCCATCCCTCTCGGAAGCGACAGATTATTTGATACAACAGCAAGCAAACATATTACATGAAAATCTTGAGAAAGAGGCTGGTTGTAGTGCCATGGCAAGTGGGTTCGCAGTGAATATTAAGCAAGAGGAACCCGAATATATTCCTCTACAAACAACAGACGTTTTGACGCCAAAAATAAAACAAGAACCCAAGGGCGATGGCATGTGGTTTGAGGATGCCAAGGGCGATGATGAGCTGGTTTGTTAGGATTCAGTTAGTTTGCATATTTACGTTCTAATAATTTACTTTCAAGTTGGCGGCGCTTGNCTCAATAGACATAAAATGGGTAAAATCTGGGTATGTTCTAATTTAAAGATTACTCATCTAATATAACGTTATTTTAATAGGCTGATGCCCGTAAGGAAGCTGGTGCCTCGAAGCATATGCGTGGTGTGAAAAGGTTGGCCGCAATCGGTACAGAGGAGTACCTTGATAAGCATCCCAGTAAGGATGACAGCTTTTCTATGGATTTAGATTACTTTGATTTTTATTAAATTGTCCCTCAGCTGGTCTTAGTGCCCTCGGATAGATATTTTTGTGATAGATGTAATCGTAAATTTTGAAAAAAATTCATTTTATGAAACCTTTGCGAGCATTCGATCGACTCCTGGGAATGCTGACATATGTATATACATACATATTTTCGGTGTTTGCCAATGCGAATTCGCCTTAAGGCTCCGTTATGCATACTTGGCATTGCTTGAGCGTTGTCACATAAAGAATCTGTTAAATGAGCTTCGCGTGTAAGCGGTTACCCAACGCACAGCATTACATACGTAAAAGTCTGTTGGTTTTTGATTTCTACGTAAAAATGGTATAGCAGTGCATGCAATGCCAAGTATGCATAACAGAGCCTTTAATGTTTTACATACCAATTTTTTCATGAAATTAATTAAAGGATTTCTCGATTTAAAGTAGTTATATTAAGTATTCGAGTTTTTTGTCTTGTGAATTTCGATATCCTTTATCTTGTCCTGAAAGTATTTTTTGTTTTGCTGTTTATATACATTATAAAATGCGCTAATTATTAATGAATTATTAAAATTACCTATTTTTATTTGAAATAATTTCATATTTAAAACTACACATTTTTAATTGAAAGAATTTATTGTTTAAAACTTTTTTAGCTTTTCCTGTGAATGTCAACCTATTTCGATTATTTGTTGTTTTTGCAAAAAATAACAGTATTTTCCATGATTCAATAGTTAATTAATTTATTATTAAATCATGAGTATTTTTAACATGTTAAATATAATAGAAATATGATGTATTATTCCTAGAGTATTAAAAATGGAAGTACATACATATTTGAAAATATTAAACAAGAACAATTTATCCTTCCTGTAAATTTTAAGCAAGTATTAGAATTGGAGGTTTTGGAAATCCCGTCAAACTACTTTTATATTTTGAAAAGTGAACTGTTAAAAAAAGCGGGATAATGCTTAATAAACATATCGCTCATTTACTTCAATAGCTTTATAACTTGAAAAAAGCAAAACTCGAGAAAAATGGCTTTACAGTTTTGAATTTATATGTCGTTAGTTAAGTATGGAAAGCGCGTATCGTCGCTAAAATACAAAAACCCACAACTAAGAATCCAAAATTCTCTTTCTGGTTGATTCTTATGCATTTCGTCGAATTATTAGTCCCCAAATCGTTTTATGCAATGCAAAATTTTAGTTAGTTGTGGCTTTTTTGCATTTCAGCGACACTGTAGGTTACGCCCTTTCCATACCAAAGATATACATATAAAAATTAACTCGTAATCGGTGCAGCTATGAAATTTATGCAACAACATGGAAGAAGAGGTAGAGATCGTTTCAACACTGGGCTCGGTTAAAAATTCTTAAGAAAGCGGAATTCTGAAGCAAAACGAAGGAAAAGTCGTTTGTAAATGGCCCTGAAAGGTAAAATTGATATAAAGTCGACGTTCAAGTTGTTAAAGTGAGTGTGTTAGTAAAAAGTGTGAGTGTGTTACAACTTGATAGGAAGTTCTTGATCGTGTAACCTTTTATTATGGAATCATGAGCTTGCGGCATAGGCATCGATTTTTGGAAATTTTCGATATTTGGAGACAAAATCGAGTGCTCAAAACATCGATTTTTTCTTCACGATATTTGGACAACATCGATTTATTGGCCCGATATTCATGTTGCTCGCGCTCATGGTGAAATAAAAATAAGGTGATGTCAGTTAAGGGGTGTTTGTTGTAATTTTGACAAATTCCGTAGTCCCGTTTTGAATGATGCCCTCTTGGAGAAAAACTACTCTAGAAAACCTCCTTTTCTGAAAAAGTAAGAGTGAACATCACNCGTAAATTGTGATTTGTGCTTATATTTAACAACTTTTAACTGCGGATTGTGATCTCTTGGAAGTTTTCTGGATTGTGGATTCAAATTTAGGTAACAAAGTTTAAATATGTATTGCAAATTTACAAATAAAAACTAATTAAATTTACCTCCACATATTTGTGAATTCTGTGTCTTTTACCTCAGCGTGAAGCTGCAACACATGTGGGGTTTTTGGCTGCAAATTCCAGGTGAGTTTATTCAATTGGCCAAGTTGTTTTGAAAATGGTCAGTAAAAGTGTTTTTTCTTGGTTAATAGGTTTTGGAAGTTGACCTCAACTAGGGGCTGCATTACAAGTGCAAGGAGTGAAACGCTTTTAGAACTTAGCTAGTGAATAACATGATATAGTAAAAATGTATTAATATTACGTTTTACACAAATATAAGTGTAGAATAGCGACCCCCGGAAAAAAAGAATTAATGGCGTTGTTCGCCCTTTTTCCTAATTTTAATGGTTTAAAGCATTTCTTGTGCATATTAATATTATTGGTCGTAGAGGGGGAAAGGTGGAAAATTCAAAGTTTAAAATGCACTTATTTCCCAAAATACTTAACCGATTTTTATGAAATTAGTATCATCAAGTAATTTTTATATTGATCATTTGCCCAAAAATGTTTATATACCCTTGAAATCAGGAAAAGGAGGCGGGCGAAAGCAAAGTAAGCTCCAAATTTTTTATTTTTGTTTTTTTTTTATAAATGTTGCATAAGTTTTCCAGAAACAAAAAGCTTCTTCATATCCATGATCTGGCAACCAAGTACAGCAAAAAAAATCTCAAAGTGGACCATCCATTCTCGAGTTATGCGCTGTCTGACGTACGCAAGTTTGGTATATACATCGAAATATTTATTTTTATAACAATCAGAGGTTATATTCGATTTAAATAAGCTTGTTTAAATTAAATAACTAAATCAAATTCGTTTTTGTTTTAAAATACCACCATTCACTATTATCCATACCTTTTTATGGAATTTATCTCCCATTTTAGGAAGTGTGATTGAGTTCTTCCCCCTTTACTCCTGCTTCCTTAAACCATCCCTTTGGGCGGAGTGTCAAGTTTTAGAAAAAAGCTACTTACAAAACCTTTAATAATTGAATCATGGGCTTTTCAGGCGAGCAACTCCACAACAAAGTTTCCGCGCTTGACGTTTCTTCGAACTTTTGACATTTCGCAGTAAATGGGAATGAGTCTCCCAACAAATGAGATATCGACTAAAAAATACTAGTTCGATGAAAGTGATACTTTTTTAGACTGCTTTTACACAGTTCAAGTATTGAATTCAATTCTACTCGCATGTGGAAGAGAGGGATTGAGAAGAAAGGGGACGAGTACACATGCATCTGTACCGTCAAGTCATTTCAACTTTCTTGCTTTGCTTTTGGCATTTTCGTTGCTTCCCATTTAAAGAACCAAAAACTTGAATTCAACAGAATTGAAACGTGTAAAAGCAAATAGAAAACACAAAAGAGAATGAGCAAGATTTGCTTTCAAGTACTTGAATCATGTAAATCGGGTGTTACCATTGCATTTTAGTTTAGTCAGTACATTTTCATACTTATTTTCATTTAATTAATACTTTTTCTTTATGTTGCCATAATCATATTTACCAGTACTAATGTTCGAATGTGTTAACTGTCAAGGCTCCGTTATGCATACTTGGCATTGCTTGAGGGTTGTCACATAAGGAATCTGTTAAATGAGCTTCGCGTGTAAGCGGTTACCCAACGCACAGCATTACATACGTAAAAGTCTGTTGGTTTTTGATTTCTACGTAAAAATGGTATAGCAGTGCATGCAATGCCAAGTATGCATAACAGAGCCTTTAGACGGCGCCTGAAAAGCCTACAAAGTCTGAAACAAGTTCGAAAGTCGGCTTCTTTCAGGCTTTTCGCACTTCGGTTGTAGAGCAGCTTCTATACCATTGCACTAAATCATATTTAAGACTTGAGCGCCTCAAGCCTCAACGCCTGAAAAACCTGCTATGGAGCTTCAGCTTAAGCGCTCTAATGATAACAACTGTAATTTTTATTGTTAAAATCTCGAGAATGAAAATCACTCATGAGTGATTGCTTAGAACTATCGAATGAATGAAAATTGATGAACTATCGAATGACTTGATAATTTTTATTCGGCAGCTCCCATCTCTATTGAAAACGAAGGAGCGAAATGCAAGAAATTGAAACAGTGTAGCGCGTACGAGTAGAAATTCGTGGAAAAATTGTGAAAAGACGTGAATTTGAGGGTGCAAAATGTTTAATTTTATGTGTATTAAAGTGAAAATTTCCTAATGCATAATCGCATTTTATCGGTGTAGTGAATTTTTGGCGAAATTCATAGTTTATAAGCCTACTTTCTGTTCGCTGTCGTCGTCTTCGCAGTCACTGCACTGGCCGAAGCAGCAGCGAGGACGTCGCGCCCGTCATCAGCGTAGTAGCTATACAGAGTGGAGCCCGAGACGAGAAGAAGCCGCCGTTGCTGCTACTTGTACTGTCGTAGCCGACGTATGCCATTGTATGTGCGGCGCGAATGAACGAGTTGTGTGTGTGTGTGCGTGCGTGTGCCACAGAGTTGGCAGTGGCAAAACGCGCAGAAACGAATGTTGAAAATATTCGAAATTTAATTGAATTGAGTGGAATATTTCTAATTCAGTTAAAAGCGTAATGCATAAGTGAATAATTTGCCGAATTTGTGGATAGAGCTAATAAGAAAATGTGTAATTGATGAATTAAACAACAAAATTGAAAGCTTTGAACCCAATTGAGGGGATTTTGTATCGAAAAATTTTAGTGGATGTGGAAAGAAGAAAACGGAAAAAGAAGTATGTATGTAAATGTGCTCGAGCTTCGAGAAGTGAAGAGGGCCTTTAAAAGCAACATTTCACTCAGCCTTCTAGCGTAACTACAAATGAGCGTGTGCGAAAGAGATAAATAGCGAGCTATCGTTAACAGCAGCAAACGAATATAAATCATGAAAAAATAGAAAAGGTGTAAAGAAGAAACTCGAACAAAGTGGCTGAGAAAAAGAAATTGAACAAATGAGCGGAGTGAAGTGTGTGTGAGTGGGAGAAGTGGAACAAACGGAATTGTGAAAGAAAACATAAAAATAACTATTCCAAATGCAGGAAGCGTCAACAAAATGGATAATAAAACAATACAATTGGATTTCAAATTACTGGTAATTAAAGATTGCATTAAAAAAAAACAACATCGCATTTAATTAAACAGCTATTTATCATAAAATTGTAGATATACAATTAAAACAACTACATATGTAGGCTGACCGTATAGCGAAAGCTACACATAGTATGTAGAGCGCGCTAATAAAAAATGAGTACAGCATAATTAAATCAGTAAATAATCTAAATGCATGGTACAACTATTATGTGGGTAGAAAATGTAATTGCCCTAATCCCATGTAACAACTTTTATAAAATATATAATTGAAATTCAAACATGTTTAGGTAGTCCTCTTCGTCCTGATTAAGTTTATTTTTCGTTTTCCAAAATTAGCTGTTAATAAATGATTTATCTTGCTGTATATGCACGTATGTATGCTTTAAATTAAGACAGTGATATCAACATAATTTTCCCTTAAGTTGGAAGGATAAGTAAATATGCTAGAAATATCATTGTTTTTTAACTGCTTTTATTAATTAATTACGCTTTTAATGCTCTAGGTATGATATTTGAAAATCCAGTTTTTATTCGATATGCTGGTCATATACAATAGCACCGCCCAACTTTGTCATTTCATGAAGCATCCTTCCCCTTCGGCCCCACCCCAGAATGTTTTACAAATATGTAAGTAAACATTTCCCACAATTTTCGTCGAAATTTCAATACTGCATACTCGAAAATTTTCTAGAAATTCTGAATAAAAATTTTTAAATTTTGATGAAAATTTTTTGAATTTTTTTTTAACTTGAATGGGCTACAAAACTGCATACTCGGAAATTTTATAGAAATTCTGAAAACAAATTTTGATATTTGATGGTTTTTTTTTAATTTTTGTGAATTTTATAAAAAGTGTGAAACTTTGATTTATTTGGTTTATATTATAGAATGGACTATATTTTCATGAAAAATTTATGGAAAAAATTGTTCATGACAATTATTG